ATATATATATATATATATATATATATATATATATATATATATATATATATATATATATATATATATATATATATATATATATATATAAATTATAATTTCAAAAATTACAATTCAAACATGTGATTAAGTGTGGTGTTATTGATAATTTCATACAATCATCTATTAATAAAACATATAATAGATTATAATTTAATTTATATATTATTTTATATAAAATAAATTATAACTAATTTATATGTTATTATTTATTATTAACGCTACGTAAACGGCCTTTTGTGTGTCAAAGTGTCAACGCTATCCTATCCCATTAATTACCAAATTAATGCACAAAACAAAAGCCGAAAAAAAAAGGAGTTTATATTATGGATGGATAAAGTCAATTAACCTCAGAGCTGAATTATAAAAAAAACAATTAAAAATTCATAATCAACACAAAATGTAGTAATGTTCTTCGTCGAAATTTTTTTTATACTTAAAAGCTCTAACTCAAAATCTCAAAACAAAATTATATTATAATCAGAAAAATAACACTCAAAATAAATAGAACATAACAAAAAAAAAAGTAATTTTTTTACATAAGATATTCACTATTTCCTTTTGGCAATTTACAGAAATTTTGAATGAAGAATCGAAATATGAGTAATTTTAAGAGCAACGTTGATTTCTACCAGGTCCACCATAATAAAAATAATTACCCCAAACAGGATTAATGCCACCTTGAATATCATAACAATTAGGATGATCAGCTAATACTTTGAGATTAGATAATGGTATTAAACTATTATCCCAATCAACAACTTGTAAATTTCTAAAATAAGATGCTTTTCCAAAACCTTGAGCAGCAAAATGTCCACTTCCCATTTGTGTTGATGTATGAAATCCTCCATTTCCTCTACTATTCACTATTTCACCTCCAAATTGTATCATACTTGCTGAACCTCTAAGATGTGTGAACAAAAATGATGGCCAATATCCTACTAATACTCCTGATCCAAATTCTAACCACCAATGTCCATGTTTTGGATCCTGCATAATTATTTCAAAAATTAAAACAAGGTTTTTGAGGTAAAGAAGAGTCGAAAGAATCTTACAAAAGCACAAACAAAATGATTGTTTCCACTGAAAAAATAAATAATACTTTTTTTCTTTTTTCCATTTTAACCATTATACTAATGATTAATAGTCATTTTGCATTTTCTAGTATGAAAAGAAGTAAAAGATAAAAAGTATGAAGAAAAGAAAAAGAAAAAAGAGAGAAGACAATATCATCGATTTTCTCTTTTAAAATGAACCTCTTTAGTTGCTTAATTTTAATTTAAAACACAAATGACATTTCATTAGGGAAAAGAATGTGTTTTTTTAGAAGAAATAAATTCCCACAATTCATATATGGAAAAATTGTTCATCAATTCTGATTGATCCGTGTGGCTATTGTACAATTGTAATTACCTTCCAAATCATGATGCTAATATCATATTGACCACCATTATAAGAGGATGTTGGAGAAATTGCTGCCCCAATTGCTATTCTATTATTTGTCTGAACAAATCCTGAACACAATAAATTGTAGCATCCTGTGGCTTGGTATGCATCACTCTGGGAAAAATAATAATGCAATAGTTTTACTTTTGTTTTCTGCATTGGAGCTTGATTGATTAAATGTGTGATAATTAAATACTTACAGTCCAGTAGGTGAAGAACCTTGGATAATTGTCACCATATAACTCTGGACTTACCTGTTATAATTAATTAAATCAAACAAATCATTGTAAATGCTGATAATACAGAAAAAGATTTGTTGATTTTGAAAGGTAGCTGAAGATTTAATGACATGCTTTAAATGACACTAAAGAAAATGGTTCACTCTATCCTCTATTTCAGTACATGTCACATTTAAATCCCAGAAACCGCGTTTTCCATCAATAATAATAATAATAACACATGCCATAGGACTAATAATATTTTGATTCCAGTTATCATGTATACGAAAATTTTTGTTAGTAAAAAAAAATAATATATACATACATACCTGCCAACCAGCTTCAATAGTATTAAGATCATCACCAAATGAACCAGAAATAACCCACATTTGTGATAAACTAAACTCATATTGATTGGTAACTTTAGGTGCCCACACATTTATACTTGCTTTTGCACCATAATATTGATCTCCAGTTACATATCCTACTGCATGCTGTAATTCCAAAAACAAATAAATCTTGATTTTTTGATGATAAAGTTATTATTTGAATATAGAAAAATACATGTTTAATTCTAATACTGTTTAAAAACGATTCTGGTAAGTTTAATTAGCCAAACCTCATGGCCATTGCTAGTAGTGTCTCTACGAACTGGTCTTTTAATTTTTCTACCAAATCTTCGAATAGAACTAGCTCTTAGTATGTCTTGTTCTTTTGTTCTTCTAACTGGAATTGTTCCTTCTGGACATGTTTCACCAGACATGCTCCAAAGTTGGAAATTTTCAAATTCCATTGAATTTCCTGATGATCTTGGCCTCTCAGCTGGCTCCTATATATAATCAATAAAATAAACATTTTTAAAAAATCTAATTAAAAGAGTTTCATGTTCGAGTCTTGAGAAAAGAAAACAAATCAATAAAGTAAATAAAAAGAGATTGGTTGGTTTACCAATGGTTTTTGGCCTTTTAATTGAGGATGATCGAAAGCAGGTTGTTGATGTGATAATACACAATCTATAAGATCTCCATCAGGACTCTACATCACAAAAATTCAGAGAGTTATTATCAAGAAAATAAGAAGCTAATTAATGATGGGAGAAAATAATGGAATTTGGGAGATGAATACCTTAATTGTCTTGATTGAAGGTTTATTGATTTTCATGAGATGTGATTTAATGTCAAAGGTTTGGTTGAATTGTTCAAGTGATGAGGACAAAACAGGACAAACAGAGAAGAGGAAGAAAACAACAAAAATGTAAATGATTGGTGAAATATTCTTGGAAGCCATAACATGAATTTTTGAGGAATTGTAACTTCTTCTTGTTTCTTCTTCTGGTGTTGTTGTAGTAGTAGAATAACATTGGCATTGTATTGTTGTGTAATGATGTACAAAACACAAATCATCCATAATTACCACCACCACACACACAATTGAACTACAATTCAAGAAAATCTCAAAAGGTCATGTTCATGACTATTTTTCACTAATACCAAGAAATTCTCAAAACTACATATTATAATTCTCTTCTTCTTTCTTCTAAATTTTGTCTGACTAACAGCAACTCCTAGGCATGAGCTAATATAAAAATGTACAAGAATAATGGGTTGTGCACCTTTTTTTTGAGAGTTTCAATTTAACTCCATGTGGGTTGTGCACAAATAAATACTACTCTATTTAGTTGTGATCAAGACATGTACTTTTGTAAATTTTTATCAAAAATAAAATAAAATGAGGGAATTAATTGAGTGGAGAGAAGGCAGACCCCAGACTCAAATATGGAGGATGGAGTTTGATGTGGGGCTTGGGGGGTGGGGTAATGGGAGGAGTGTTTCCAGTCTCCAATACAAAGACTGAAACTTTAGCTTTTCTATGTCAAATTATATTTTATCCCTCTCAAAAGCTTATTTTACTCATTAAATTTAATATAATTTTTTTTAATTATACTTCACATATATAATTTTATTTTTGTTCGTATAATTTGCTGTTCAATATACAAACATAATAAATATATATATACAAATCAAATTTATTAATATAACAATTAATTACATTCAAACTACGGTAAATATATAGAGTTGTTGAATCTATGTACAATTAAAAAAAATTGAATTACTAATCAAAATATACAAAATATGAATTTATACAATTTCTAAACGTGAGCCACATAATTACAACTGTAAGTTAGTGAAGAATGACAATTTAATTAGGTTATAATTATATTAACTAGCTAAGTAATATATGTTCGGTTATCTCCGTAATCTTCTCATAATTGAACACTATTAAAAAAGCAATTTTAGGAAAAATAGTATACTTCCTCTGTTCCAATATATATACGCGATACAATTCAAATTTTGAGAAATTAAAAAATTTAATCTTGACTATAAATTTAAATATGAAATATTTAAATTATTTTAAATGTAATTTACGTATTTAAAAGTACGATAAAAACTTCAATTCAAAATATTTAGAAGGTGTATAATAAAAATATGATCAAAGAAAGATTTGTAGTAACTTAAAAATTTTAAACGTGTGACATAAATAAAAATAAAGCATTATCTTAAATTCTTCGAATGAACAACTTATTTTAAAATATTTAAAGACAACACTTATTTTAAAATAGACGAGGCTTGATATTTGGAGGGAGGTCTAGGGTAGGGTGTGGGGTTTGTGGTTTCTATTATTCTTTGCTTGATGTTTGAAGACAGATAGGAATTAGAATTACACTTCATTCTGAGGGTTTCAAAGTTCTTTACTTTAGGTGTTTCTCTTTCTCACTTCCCTAGATGTTCTTTCTGTCAGCTCAGCTTGTTGCTATTTTATTTTTCATCTTCATTCCAAATGAGTTATAATTTATTTTTTTATAGATGGATAATTTATTTATAGGTATAATTAGATCAATTAAGCGTAATAATTCGTTCAGAAATAATAAAAGAGAATTTTCCAAAAAATAGAATGTCACAACTAAATTTATGTGACAAAGTAAATTTTGAACCTTCTTTGCTACTTTACTATAATATTTTCTTATATTAAGAAGATTTATCCAACTTTTTAAATATAAACTAAAGCAAAAATAATATAAACTAATATTTTTCTTTCATTTGCACGGTATATATATATATATGTTGTATGGATTGCTAACTTGTCCTCTTAGAAGTTGTCGTTTTCTGGAGAAATTAAATTGTTAATAACTTACAAGTTGGAAGTCACCCTTCAGATTTTAAGAATTAAACGGATTATTTGAATCGTAACTTTCATCTAATTTTTAGATGTTTTAAATGTATATTAATTTTTTAAAAAAAATTACAGTTATTTTTAAATGTAAAATTATTTCAGAAAATAAAGAATATTGTGTCCAAAATTTTAAAAAATTATGTCCAAAATTAAAAATTAACTAATAAAATCCAACTTTTTTAGTAATAAGTCAAAAACTATGTCTTAATAAAAATAAAAGTAACGACCTCTTTTAATAAATATATATTTCTTAAAATAGTATCACAGAAACACGATAAATATTTTAACAAAACGGTGAAATCAAAATTAAGAAGGCACGCGCGCCTGTTAAATACGCATGTGCATGCGCGGCCCCTTTCGGGCTCCGTTCTTTCCTTCTGTGTGTATGGGACACCTCCATAAATAACAAATTGAATAAAATCATCTTATAGTACTAGTAATATTACTGGTTTAAAATTTTAAGTTCTAAGAAAAACTTTGGTATGTGCAAGATTTTTTTCAAATTTTGTTGTTAATTTTCATACTTGATCAAACAACAATCATATAAAATAAAATGAAGTATTAGTCTTTATTGAATTTGATTAATTAATAATAAGCAAATTAGATAATTTAAACTTATAGTTAAATTTAGGCTAAATTCATAAACAGATCTCCAAACTTGTTGAGTTTTTCCTTCAGGTATCTCAACTACGTTATTTCCTATTGAATCATCCATAATTTGTTCCTTTTAAATATTGTTGGCTGATTTTGATCGGCTTTTCTAATTGTATATGTCTTTAGTTGTGTTTGTATTGTAATGACTTTCGTTGAAGGAGTGAAGACAAATTTTGTGTTAGTGTCATTTGTTTTTTAATGTGTTCAAATTACTTGAAGTAAAACACGATTATTCTCGAACAGTTTCACTAACAATTGAACTAATGAGTTCTGAAACTACATGTCTATTCTCTATCAATATCCCTCACAAAATATCAAAGATTTTGTCTCTCAAGCTATACCATTATTGAGTTAAAAAATATACCTATCATGTAAATTTTTATCATGCCTTATAAAGCTTATCACTTTTCTTCCTTATCGTCACATGAAATTTAACTAAGGAATTTTTGATATATATATATATATATCAACCGATACTTCCTTGTATAATAATAAAGGTCAAACTTTTAATGAGGAAATTGAACCTTATAGGTCGGAAGTATACGAGAGACCAAGGAGCCATGTGCATGTAGGGGTGTCCAAACCCTAAGTTGGAAAAAGTATATCGCCCCGGAGGTCTATAAAAAAGAGTAAATTGACATCGTAAATTTTTGGAACACCCCAAATTATTTACGATAATAACAACTAAGTATATGTCTTTATTATTACAAACGTGCACTAAAGATGGGCCAAAAAATTTAATTTATGAATTATAATCATATTTTTCAAACTGGCGCTGTGTGAGGTAACTTCTTGTTTTACCTTAACAATATATTAATGCGGTAACTTTCAAATCATTTTTCAAATTTATAAAACTATACACTTGCTAATATGAATATTATACTAAAATATAGTATATACTATAATTTTCTTTTATTATTTTAAACAATATATAATTATTATGACCAAATAAAAATAAACTAGGGAGTAGTGAACTTAGAAACCAGTACAACCATCTTCTTTCACGCAAAACTAAATCACATTTTTATTTTAACTATGAAAAAGAAGGTCGCAAAGGACAAGAAAAGGATAGTTACTGTTAAAGCTTTTTTTTAAAAAAAAATAAAAATAAAAATTATATTCCCTTGCTCAATTATATATAACATTAATATGTGGGAAGGTAAATAGTTCTACCTTTCACTTCGAATATCTTTTTACAATTTTTTTTTATACTTTAATAAGTAGTTTAAATCGAAATAATCAAAATTTATTTATAATTTATTACGATACAAATAACATTAAGGGACGATAAATATATAAATAATAAAGAGTATTAAAATTTTTATATCAATATTAATTTATTATTTATTGAATCTAATATCATAATAAGCTTAAGATACATATATAAAGTTGCTAACTAAAAATACACATTTAAGTATAATTAAGTACTCTTATTAATCAATTGTCTTTAATTTTAAAATATTTAAGGGGAGTTTATTAGCATATCTACTTATTAATTTTAAAATTTATTTGATTTTTTAGGCCTTATTTGATTATCAATTATACGATAATTAAGTTATATAAAAAAAGATGGTACTATCTAAATAAGTTACTCCCGAGGACAGAAGGTAAAATAATAATATTATAATTTATATCTCAAGATAAAATAGTTAAAATAATAAAAATACTTTAAAGTTTTCTCAAATTCCTTTTCACTAAATAAAAGTCTCGAATTTAAGTTATGCTGTAAAAAAATCTTTGATAAAAAATAACTTTTGTACAAATAAAACCTTTCGCAGCATAAAATTGAATAATTAAACTCAAATATAAATAATAAATACCCAACAAAAGATGATTAAAATAAATAAATAAATGATATTGGATATATATATATGCACCTAATTGTTTAAAGAAAACCATAAATGATATACGCACTCCTTAAACTACAACTTTTATTGTCAGATATGATTATGTCTGGTCATCAACCGCACAAATTTAGAAATGAAATACTTTTAATGTGATATCATTTTTTATCAGTCCTAAAAAAATATTTTGTTAATTCAATTAATTTTTAAATACATTTTTGAGGATAGAAAAAAATAAGTTATTTTTTTAAAGAATAATTTAATAAATATATTTTAAAATTTTTATTATTTTTTAAATTTCGTATCAAGTCTAATTATTATTACATAAAATGAGATGGAGAGAAGTAATAATTTTTGGAAAAATTGTATAAAATAGCAAACTAATAACCTAAATTAAATAGAATAGCTAGGGTTTGATTTAATTGTGCTCCATAGCAAACATTATCTAAAATTTATCAGCGTCTCTCTCCCAGGAATCTCGCTCGTCACTCTCCATTCTCACTCGCCTCTCTCGCTTTATACACAAAAGTGTATAATTCTGTTTCTATTTTGTATAAAGCGAGAGAAAATTGTATATACACATGCAAAAATGTATATCTTTGTGTTATACACTTAATTATACAATTTACAAACATTTTACTTCAAAAATTGCAGAGAAAAAGGCCAACGAATTATACAATTGTGAATTATACAATTGCAGTGAAATACAATTTTCTCTAGCTTTATACAATAGAAGTGTATATATTGTGTTTCTGTTTTTGTATAAAGAGAGAAAAACATATATCTTTTTGCAATAAACTTATAATTATGCAATATGCATACATTTTAATTCGATTCAACTATATGCAAACAAATTATACAATTGCAGCGAAATAGGCCAGCGAATTATACAATTTAGGCCAGCGAATTATACACTTGTATATGTATAGCGAATTATACAGTTTTTATGTTTGCTATGGAACGCAATTATGCAAAGTTTGTTATATTATACAAATATAAATTTTTTGTTTGCTATATGTGAAAGTTGGCCATAATTTTTTGATGTCTACATTTGATGATTAGAAATG